CTTCTCCTTTCTCACTAAATGCCACCATCATGCCGTTACCCAAGTCAGAAACCCAATGTCATCCTTGATTCCTTCCTCATCCATCCCTTCTTCTACATCACACCAATTCAGTGCTAAGGTAGGTGAATTTTTCCCCCATAATTTCCTTTAGATCTATCCATTTTCCTCCATGCTGGCTGCCTCTCCTATTCCTCATTTGGTCTTCTACAGCATCCCCCCATTCAGAAACAGCTACACTTTTCTCTAATCCATTACTACACTGCAGGGAGAATACTTCAAAAGCACAGATCTGATCATGTCTCTTCCTTAATTAAAGTTTTTAGTGGCTGCTGATTACCATTAGGAAAAAATCCAAACACCTTGACACCACAAAATCCCCTAAAGAGCTACGCCTACCTCTCCACCTTTATCCCATTATAATCATATTGTACTTTCCATCCCTCAAACTTGCCATATTACTGAAATTAATAACCCTAGTATGGCTCGAAATTCAGTGCAGGCAGTTTCTGTTTGCATGGCTCTGATCCGTGCAAATTTCAGTTACTATCGCTTAAATAACACCAGTTCCCCAACAACCTGGTTCAAATTTCAGTTACCATGGTATATTAATAAACTATAATTGTATAGTTTAAGACTTCTTGCAAGCTTCTCAGTCTACAAAATCACTACACACATGAAGATGTGTGTCATGATCAGTAGTCAATAATGTTACTACTTTCAAAGGGTGTCACTGATTGGTCACTGCACAAGTGCCACTCAGCTTACACACAGGTAGCAAAGGATGTGATTGTGTTGCCTCCAGGTCTTCCAGTCTAAACCCTGTGATATTTTATAAAAGTGGAAAAGTGGATGAGAGAATTTTTAAAAAAGAGATAAACACCAAAGAAACAAAAAGTGCTAACACTCAAAGCAATCTTCAAAGCTAATGTAAACAGAGTTCTAGAAATAGCTGGTGTGACAAACACCTTTTGCTGAAAAACATGCTGTCCCAGAGAAAATGATGCTAGCAAAAACCTTAATATTAATGGAACTCAGAGATATATCACAACATTGAAAGTCCGGGTCAGGCGCAGTGGCTCACGTCTGCAATCTCAGCACTTTAGGAAGCCAAGACAAGTGGATTACTTGAGCCCAGGCATTCAAGACCAGCCTGGGCCACACAATGAAACCCTGTCTCTAAGCCAGATGTGCTGGCTCATGCCTGTAGTTCCAGCTACTCAAGAGGCTAAGGAAGAAGGAGTATTTGAGCTGGGGAGGTTGAGGCTGCAGTGAGCCATGATTGGGCCATTGGACTACAGCCTGAGCAACAAAATGAAACCCTGTCTCAAAAAAAGAAAAAAAAAATCAAAGAATAAAACACTGGAAGTTGATACAACTGGAATATAATAATTGGCCAATAAAAGAAAAAATACTCACTCTGTATCATAAGTTACGTGATGATGGGAAGGTGGAAGACACTGTTCTAACTACTCTTGATAGGCTTTATACAAAGAAATAAAACACTTTAATTCTCAATGTTTCCAAGGTTTTAAATTACGGTGTACAAAGTAAATTTTTACAATTTGTTTATTTCCATAAACATTTATAACAATAAGAGAGTTTTTAATGTTTTGACAAAAGATATTAAAGGTCATGGAACAATTTTAATTTTTCTCATTATTATAATATTAGGATTGCTTTGCACAATTATAAAGTACCACACTATCATGCAAAACAAGGCCCGTGTGTATAAGAACTCCTAAGCACACAAGTGGAAAGTAAAATTTATCACGAGAACCCCTAAAATTCTCTCAAGAACTCTTACATATACAGTTGAGGTGCAAATGAAAGAAAATCTTTCCTGCAATAATAATAGTATTGACTAAAATTATAGCAACTTGAAAATTAATCAGTACTACTGGGCCTTGGAAAACAGGCTAGAGCAGCATATACTTATTAGAAGTCATTCCCCAATGGTGGTAGTTGACACCGAGAGACAAGAGGTTCTTTAATGAAAGAAGAGAAAGGTGCAGATTGTAGTCATGGGAACTACACAGTTATCAAAAGGGGCAGACCCTTCCTTGCATTGACAAAAACTTCCTTCAGTTTTTAGGTATTGGTTTGTTTTGGCATCTCCATTTTCAGAACCTTTAAAGCACATTCTCTGATAAAGGACAGTAAGAGGGAATAAAAGAAAACTATCAAAGTAATTAAATGCATTTGTATAATGCCAATAGAAGCTAAAGGAGGAAAGATTTTTACAAAGTATGGGTTGGTCAAAAACTTGAAATACTTCCAAAAGTAAAAGCAGATAAGAATTGAGAAAAGCTCATTGTGTTTAGTAATTATTACATACTTTTAAGAGAATCAGTAACAGCTAAGAACAGAAATAAAGAAATAAATCAATGGTAAGGAAATCATGTGGGAGCATTATTTACATTTTTTACTCAGGAAAATCATCCTCATAAAGCCACATTCCCCTTAGTTATCCAGAACTAAGATAAGCAAGAAAATTTCATAAAAGGAGCAAAACTCAAGCTGAGAACCTAGAATTGTCAAAGAAAAGAGGGGTTTACTATACTTACCAGGGAAAGTACTATCTTCTGGATTAATTGAAGCACTAATGCTTCTTTTCAAGAGGTGATAAATATTTGCTGCTGTGAAGTCTGAAAAAGAAAAGACAAACTAACTCAAAGGGCTCTAGATTTACTAAATCCAACCTACTCCAATTTCACCATCAGACACTCTCAAGACCAGTAGGTTGTATGTGAAAGTACTACACACTGCTCAAGATCTGTTCAAGTTTTGATACAGTAAATCTAAAGCAAGCAGAAAAAAACAGAAAAGACTCCCGATCTGTACATTCCAGCCAGTTAGCACAAATGCAAAATTCCCCACAAAAGAATAATTTTGAAGAGAAGGGAAACTGTCACAACACCTTATACACAAACACATACATTTATTCCTCAAAATTCCTGTTTGATCGAAACAAATGAATACATCAAATGCAATACTGAATCTAGACAGTTGCACCAAAAAGCAATGCAATCGATAACAATTAAGATCTTTAAAATTCATCATTTGTTTTCAAAACTTAGTTCATATGTGGGATGTCTCCTCCCATTAGATGTAAATTCTAGGACAGCATGATTTTTGTCCATCTTGTTCCTTTCTGTATCAGCTGCATGTGAAACACAGGAACAGAAATAATAAATGCATACATTTCCAAAACGTAGGAAATTCCATTACTAAGGCACAGAAAATTTGTTAAGTTAAATATTTCCTATGCCAAGAACTTCTGAGGGCTGGAATCTTGCATACACAAATTTGTCCATGTTTTCCATGAAGATGCTATATTTGCAGCCCTCATTAACTCTATCCCAGATAGAGTCCCAGCTTCTTGAGGCAACTAGATATTGATCCCTTCCCAGCAGAACTTGATCACAAACTCAAACTTCTTCCCCTCCCAAACCGTTCCCGCCCTTTCTTGTCCCAGCGCTTACCCGGCTGCTTCTCAGTACCCTCACCCGACGACACCTCTGGTCCATGTTCTGCCTCCCTATTGGCCGCCGACGGGAATTTTCCTTCCCCCCAGATCACCAGCAGCAGGTACCGATCCATCTCCTAAGAGATAACCCCCAATTTTAGGTCTCGACTACAATATCCAAACATAGGCGCGCTATGACGCACTTCCGGTTCCCTTCGCTTAGGTCGCCTGGAAATTGTGTCCTCCGCCGGTTTTCCGCAGTTTTCCAGCAAGCGGGTTATTTTCGGGAGTTATTTCCTAAATAACTGCATTATCTGCTCCTTTCATGACGAAATTGCTGCGGTGGGGAAGCCTGGAAGAAACTAAAGGAAGTGGGAGAAGCCGACGAGTGTTGGACGGGCTAGGAACTGTGTTGCTTGGTTGTTAGCGTTTCCCGCCGGGCCAGTAAGGCTGCGTGACCCGGCTCGGCTACCGGGAGAAGGACGGACGGTGCTGCTAGTGGGGAAATATGTCGAGTTTCTCCAGGACGCCCCAGGTGAGCTTGTACTCTTATGGCTTCATGGGGTTCATTATACTGGCAGAAGGAGAGCGTTGGGTCTGGCAGATTAAGTAGTGAAGCTGCGGCGGCAGGGAAGCTGAGACCCTCTGCTAAGAGGTGCCTGGGGAAAGCACAAGAGGGTCGTCAGTCTGGCAAGCACTTAATGTCGTTCCTTTGTTACTCATCCCCGCTTCTTTTCAAACTGCCCTTTTCATGTCTTCTTTTTTTATCGGGAAGGGGGAAAGGGATTAGGAGAGAAGGTGGGAGAAGTAGTAAGGTTGATTACTTAGGGCATTGTAGGCCGTTGTAAGAATTTGTTTTTCTGCTGAGTAAAATGGGAACCTATTGGAGGGTTTTGATCCAAGGAATAACATGATATGACTTGGTGTCAAAAGGAGCACTCTGGCTGCTGGGTCGAGAATAGACTGTTTAGAAATAGGGGGTAGTGGAGGACAGAAGCATGTTTGGCGGGTATAACAGTGATCCAGGCGAGACGTGATGGTGCAGAGGTCACGCTAAAAAAAACCATGGAGTGTGTTGAAAAGTGGTCAGGTTTTGTTTGAAGGTGGAGCCAATAGGATTTTCTGAAGATTGAATATAGGCCAACAGCAAAAGCAGCAGCAAAGATTACGCCAAGGTTTTTTGGTTTGAACAACTGGAGGGTGTGTCTCAACTGAGATAGGGAAGGCTGAAATTGAAGCAGGTTTGAGGTGGAAGAATAGGAGTTAGTTTGGGTTATATCGGTCTAAGGCGACTCTTAGCTCAGTGCCGCTCTAACTGTGGTTCCTTCCCTGGACTGTTTGCTGCCTGTGATGAGACAAATACAGGAAGAAAATTAAACTTTTAAAAACTTTTTTTTTTAGCAATTTGACATCATCCAGCATTGCATTTTTTTTTAATCAAAGTTTTTTTTTTTTTTTTTCTGTCAAGGTATCTATTAGTCTGCTGTGGATGGGGACAAAAACTGGCCTTTTTCTTATGTGTAGACTCGTTTGAGGTTCTGATAAGTACATTTAAAATAAAACCAGCTAGCCTCGTTGTATTTTTCCAGCATTGTTTAGCCTCTTGTGTATATGCATAAAGTAAATAACTGGTGGAGATCTTCTGGACTAGAATTTTTTAAGAAATTAAATACATCGATGAATACCGTAGAAGCAGTGGTCTAAAGATACCTATTTCAGGTAACTTTTTAAAGTTGAAATTTATTCCACATTATCCATCCGTACTTTCCCAACTACATTGTTCTATTTAATTCTCCCCAGGATTTGAACTCCTGAATGGTCTTCGGTTTCCAATTGGCCACTCAGCTTTCAATATGATGTACCTACTAATCTCTAAGTGTTTTTGAAGACATTTGAGGAAAGCCTTCATAAACAGCTTCTACTTTCTTACAAGCTTCTCATTACGCCTCCAGATTTTATTATGTGTTATACAAAAGAAAAAGTCATAATCTAAAGGGAAATATATATTTGGGATGTTTATAACAAAGCATGTAGAAAACCAGGCGGGAATAATTACTGTGTTTGTCTTTCCAGAATGATAAGGAAAAAAAAAAACCCCTTTTCCAGAAATAGAAATGAAAACCAAAATTCTTCAGCAATAGAGTTATTTTTCAAAGAAATTGTTGACATTAATTGTAGAATACATGCGATGGTATAAAATAATAAATTTAATTACTGTATTTCCATTTTAGTGATAATTTTTTTTTCTCTTTTTTTTTTTCAAGCAATGGGCCACTTTTGCTAGAGTATGGTATCTCTTAGATGGGAAAATGCAGCCACCTGGCAAACTTGCCTCTATGGCATCAATAAGACTTCAGGGATTACATAAACCTGTGTACCATGAACTGAGTAAGTATTATTTTAGACCTGTCTTTAACAACTGTAGTTTTTATGCTGGAATAGAATCTTGATGAAGTTTGACAGGGCTGAGTTTAAAGACTCTTTATTTTTCCTGAGGATCCCGTGTTCCATTCTTGCTGAAAACATACTGGTGCCTTCAACTGAATTTGGCTTATTCACGGGAAAACCATATGAATCAGTTTACCCAGAACCAGCCTATTTTATGCCACTGCCCAGCAAAATTATTAGTACCCCCTCTTTTCATGCTCAGAAATAACCTGATTTGCACAATGACTTAAACTTTCACTCTTAATGCATGTCTTTTCACATGATGATGTGCATATAAGAAGTTTTTAAGGGAAATAATTTTACCCTCTCTTCTAAAAATTCATTTCCGCTGGAAAAATATATGGTGCTAGCTAGGTATGGGAAGCTTATTTTTACTAATAAGATTAATATAATAGACTTGCTTTTCTGTATTCTCTTTCCAAAATAAAATTAAAAAGTTGTTTTCATTCTAGATGATTTCTGCTGATAGTTTTTGTGGATTTCATTGCCCTCAGCACTTCATGGCCAGATCCAGATGCCAGTTTTTAGTCTTCATACTGGTTAACCTGTCAACAGCATTTGCTGTACTTGATTACATTTTATTTAACTTTCATTGTGCAATATTAAACACACAAAGGTGTGTAAATATCAATATGTGTGTGTGTGTATATATATATATATATATATTTTTTTTTTTTTTTTTGAGATAGAGTCTTGCTCTGTCGCCAGGCACCAGGCTGATGTGCAGTGACACAATATCGGCTCTCTGCAACCTCTGACTCCCAGGTTCAAGCAATTCTCCTGCGTCAGCCTTCCCGAATTGCTGGGACTACAGGCGTGTGCCATCACGTCCAGCTAATTTTTGTATTTTAGTAGAGATGGGGTTTCATCATGTTGGCCAGGATGGTCTCAATCTCTCGACCTCATGATCCGCCTGCCTCGTCCTCCCAAAGTGCTGGGATTACAGGCGTGAGCCACCGTGCCCAGCCCAAATATATGTATATTTTAAAGAAATTTAGCCATAATAATGATGATAATGATGAAATGAATACCCATACACTCAGCATTGGTTGTTTCCATTTTTTTTTTTGCCATTGTGTGTTATATTACATTAATGTTGCTATCAATAATCTTGTGCCATTTTCCTAGTACACATGGAAGAATTTTTCCAAGATACGCCTAAAGGACAGGAATGACTGGGTTTTAAGGTGCATAGAAACTGTTGAGTCTTTATCATGCCAATAGCGTGCAAGAGTTTCCATGACTCCTCATCTTCAATATCACTTGATATGTTCATTATTTTTAATTTTGATTATTCTGGTAGATGTAAAATGCTTGCTTTGTGATTTCAATTTGCATTTTCCCAATGACAAATGTGGCTGGCTGAGTATCTTTCCATTTATTGGCCTTTATAGCTTCCTCTTCTGTGAAATGGCTATGCATGTCTTTTGCCAGTTCTTTCACTGAGTTGTTTGTCCTTTGCTTTTTTCTTCTTATTATTATAAAAGGTTTCAAATGATCAGAAAAGGTGAAAGAATAGTAAAAAGTGTTTCTTTATACTCTCCACCTAAATAGTTAACATTTTATCATGTATTTTTTATTCAACCATTTGAAAATAAGTTGCAAATGTCATTATAATTCCCCCAAAATATTTTAGCATACAGCTCCTAAAAATAAAGATACTCTCTGTGTAACCAGAATGCCACTGGCACACGTAAGAAAATAAACCGTACTTTAATTAGATAGTCTAATGTTCATTCTTACAGCTGTTATTTTTTTGAACCAGGATGCAACCTAGGTTTATGTATTCTTTAGTTGTTATGTTCCTTTAGTTTCTTGATCTAGAATAATCCTTTTATTTTCTTGTCGTGAGGAGTCCAGGCTAATTTTCATGTAGAGAACTTTCTTCTTGAAACACATTCTTCACTTGTTTCCCTGGATACTGATCTCTCTTTCTTAGTATCCTTGGCTCTTCTCAGCTTTCTAAACTCTCAAATGCCGTTCTCACCGAAAACTGGAAGTGCCTCAGGGCCCATTCCTGAACCTGTACTCTTGCCTTAGATGATTGCATATTGTCTCCTATATCTAAAAGTCACCTTTAGGCTAATGCCTCCCAAATGTAACCCGTTCCCTGTATTGTAGACTCACAATACAAGTTTCTATTCAGCAAATTCTTCTGGTGTCTAGTAGACATCTCCAATGAGTAAGTCCATTTGGGGATGTCTTGCTTCCTGTCTATTTCACCCAAACCAACCTGTTGCTTCCCAGTTTTCCATCTCAACTAATAGCATCTCTGTTATTTTAGTTGCTCTCATTTGAAGCCAATGCCTCATCTGCGACTCCTCTTTGTTCAACCAAAAAAATTTTTAAAGTACACACACACACTCACACATAATTTAAAAAATATATCAGAAAAAAATATATCTGAACTCTGGCACCTCTCATCATCTCTCCCTCTACTCTGGTTTTAAACTGCTGTACTCTGTCCTGTTTTATTCCAAAAACTGCCTCACTGTGATCTTTTTTTCTTCTGCGATTGCCTCCATGTAATGTTTTTACCATAGATTAGTTATCTACTCCAAATGAAATTTCTGTGTGTCCTGCAAGGACCTAAATAATATGGTCCCAGTTACCTTTCTGACTTTATTTCCTTTATTTGTTTATTTATTTAGTTCTGTCAATCAATCTACTCAGGCCCATGCTGTTCCATTAACATGCCTGCTGAGTACATTTTTGCCCTAAGCCTTTTTTTTTTTTTTTTTTTTTTTGAGACACGGTCTTACTATATTGCCCAGGCTGGAGTGCAGTGGCCCAGTCTCAGCTCACTGCAACCTCTACCTCCTGGGTTCAAGCATTTCTCCTGCCTCAGCCTCCTGAGAAGCTCGGATTACAGGTGTATGCCACTACACCCGACTAAGGTTGTATTTTTAGTAGAGACGGGTTTCACCATGTTGCCAGGCTGGTCTCAAACTCCTGACTGCAGGTGATCTGCCCGCCTTGGCCTCCCAAAGTGCTGTGATTACAGTTACGAGCTACGCACCCAGACACATTGTTCTCTCTGCCTCGATATCCTTTGCCAGATATCTGCATAGCTTATTTCTTCACATCTTTCAGATTTCTGTTCAGGCATTTATTTTCTGAAAGAGGCCTTCCCTGATTGCTCTGCTCACCCTTTCACTCTGTATACCTTTACCTTGCTTTAAAAAAAAATAGCATTCATGTATCACCTGAAATATTGTATTAGGATCTGTTTGTTATCTGCCTTCCTTCACTAGACTAAGTTCTAAGAGCACATTAAATTTTGCCTATTTTGTATACAACTGTATTCCCAGTACCTGTAATACTGCTTGACACATAGTTGGAATGTAAGAATTGTTGGTAAAGTGAATGTTTGCATTTATGAATCCCAGTTGTGAAAATGAAGAAGATAACTTTTAGTCAGGGCGCTGGCATTGGAGCTAAGTCAGGTTTTTGGATCTATGGAGCTAAGAGGAAGAGTATTCCAAATGATTTGATTTGGGCAAGAGTAAGGATTTATGACTTTTTCAATTTCTTATACTTGATGCTCAAATCTTTTTTCTCTAGCTGATGAAGATTTCTTTCTTTTTTTAAAATTGTACTTTAAGTTCTGGGGTACATGTACAGAGCATGCAGGTTTGTTACATAGGTATGCACGTGCCATGGTTGTTTGTTGAATTCATCAACCCATCATCTACATTAGGTATTACTCCTAATGCTATCCTTCCTCTATCCCCCAACCCTCTGACAGGCCCCGGTGTGTGATGTTTCCCTCCCTGTGTCCATGTGTTTTCATTGTTCAACATCCACTTATGAGTGAGAACATGCAGTGTTTGGTTTTCTGTTCCTGTGTTTGTTGAGAATGATGGTTTCTGGCTTCATTCATGTCCCTGCAAAGGACATGAACTCATCCTTTTTTATGGCTGCATAGTATTCCATGGTATATATGTGCCATATTTTCTTTCTCCAGCCTATCACTGATGGGCATTTGGGTTGGTTCCAAGTCTTTGCTATTGTGAACAGTACCGCAGTAAACATACATGTGCGTGTGTCTTTATAATAGAATGATTTCTAATTCTTTGGGTATATACCCAGTTATGGGACTGCTGAGTCAAATGGTATTTCTGTTTTTAGATCTTTGAGGAATCACCACACTGTCTTCCACAGTGGTTGAACTAAATTACACTCCCACCAACAGTGTAAAAGCATTTCTATTTCTCCACATCCTCTCCAGCATCTGTTGTCTCCTGACTTTTTAATGATCTCCATTCTAACTGGTGTGAGATAGTTTCTCAATGTGGTTTTGATTTGCATTTATCTAATGACCAGTGATGATGAGCTGTTTTTCATATGTTTTTGGCTGCATAAATGTCTCCTTTTGAGAAGTGTCTGTTCATATCCTTTTTCCATTTTTTGATGGAGTTGTTGGTTTTTTGTTTTTTTTTTTTTTTTTAATTTAAGTTCCTCATAGATTCTGGATATTAGCCCTTTGTCAAATGGGTAGACTGCAGACATTTTATCCCATTCTTTAAGTTGTCTGTTCACTCTAATGATAGTTTCTTTTGCTCTGCAAAAGTTTTTTGGTTCAGTTAGATCCCATTTGTCTATTTTGGCTTTTGTTGCTGTTGCTTTTAGTGTTTTAGTCATGAAGTCTTTGCCCTGGTCTATATCCTGAATGGTATTGCTTAGGTTTTCTTCATAGGGTTTTTATAGTTTTAGGTCTTATGTTTAAATCTTTAATCCATCTCGAATTAATTTTTATATAAGGTATAAGGAAGGGATCCAGTTTCAGCTTTCTGTATGTGGCTAGCCAGTTTTCCCAACACCATTTATTAAACAGGGACTCCTTTCCCCATTTCTTGTTTTTGTCAGGTTTGTCAAAGGTCAGATGGCTGTAGATGTGTAGCATTATTTCTGAGGCCTCTCTTCTGTTCCATTGGTCT